TATGGGTTCAATAACCTGGACTCAAAAGTCTTATATTACAAAAGCGATACATACACTTTTGTAAGGCCCTAGAGTGCAAGTGCACCTGAACTTAAGTCAAGGCTGCATCATCAGGTCGTGAAGGAAGTCGACCCAATACGTCCAGATATCCCTGGTCAGCAATTTGTGAATTGTGTCATCCACGGAGATCTTGGTATCCTTAAGGTCAAATAAATGAAACTCTTCCACGACTACAGATGGGGCTCCAAGAGGTGGGATTTTTACCCGCGCGAAGTTACATGGATGTCGTTGGAAAGAAAGGAAAGAAGATGTTTGACAACAAAGCTGAAAACACTCTCTACGAAAGGACTTACACCCGCCTTGAGCCTTCTAACACCCTAAACGCATTAGAAAGCCTTCTAACACCCTAAACACACTAGAAAGCCACCAAAGTAAAATTTATGATGGGTCAGTCGGGTTGAATAAGCTCAGGGCTTTTCCCCGGGACATGCAAATATGATACAGTTATCTATCACAATCTTATGTGTGAAGGCTTTATTAATTATAATTGAGGTGATAGTCATGCATGCAACTCATTTAAAATTCAGTCTGAAAGCTATGTTGGAAAGTAAATGTACTAATTTTAAAGTCCCGAATGTTTTAATCCTAATACTTTCATTATCTCGAGCATTTCATTATGATTTTGTAGCAAAGTTAGAATTTTAAATCGTAAAGAGCTAATATTGTATTTGTGATTTACAGACAAACCACAGAAGAAAAAGAAAAATTCATTCTTAGCATGCAAACACGCAATAAAAAACAGTAAAACAAGTCAAATCAAATAATAAGAAAATGTCGGTGCCGCTAAGTTAGCAACATATCTCAACAAAGAAAAAGAGCGGCCGAACTCTGCATATACATGCCTGGTCCTAATTTTATATATCAATATCAAACGCAGAATTAAGATACATGACATGAGCTGCTACTCCTGGTCCCCCGCAGCCTGATTCCCATACCAAAACTTCTGGGAACCCGTGTTTGTATTTTATTTCCACTATAAGACTCTTCTAAGAACTCTTAAAAATACATAGAAAAAATAAAAAAAGGACTCTAACTGCACGAAAATATGTTAGCGCAGAAAGCTATCTACATATAACATGTCTGAGCCATGTCTAGCGGGGGAGCTAAGCAGCACCTGCAAGCAGAAGTTAACATATAAATCATCACATGCTCCCCCTTTTATTGTACACGTGTGTATGCGTATATGACATGACTTCCTGCAGAAGAGCGACCTAATAGACTATCATGCGTATAAAAAAAAATAAGCACACACAAGCACACTAAAAACACGAGCAGAAAAAGACACCTAACTAGGACAACCACGCCAACACAAAATAATAGTCAGGTGTTAAAAAATACTACATAGCAAACTAGTCATAGCCTAACACACTATCTAACGATAAGTGTCTAACCAAAATTTAAGTACACAGGGTAAAGTCTCTGGTTACTGTACAACTCTGTCCTAAAGATCCAATGGATCTAAAATAAATCACAAGAAAGGAGTGACACTTCAAAAGGTGGCATCACCTATGCCCTAACATATATAATTTTAGAATTGGCGAATAATAATTATAATAACAAAAATATATATTTTTATATATTTTAAAAGAACAGACCGCTAAGGGCAGATCCAGAGCAAATCATGTGACCTGCTTTAGAGTCCTTGGATCTTTAACACAATTATAGTGTTTGTTACTACTGATACAGAAACTCACATTGCTCGTCGAGACATCCTTGAGAGCAATGCTCATTTCAGTATCATGACAAACAAACAAATCACTCTCATTATGAGTAGAACAAGTCATCAAAGCGAATGAGCAAGTATACAATCATGCAAGAGACGCACACCATGATTGTTAGATTGAAGCATGAAACAATCGCAACGGGAGCCCAAAAGGGCGAAGTACACATCATGCAAATGAATGCAATGATGCCACTTGCAACATGACAAACACGAACGGATGTACCGATAAAACATACTACCTATGGAAAGGAATTACATCTGCTCGGGGGACCTAGTGTGACATTCGACAAGCAGACACCAACTACGAGTGAGGTTGCATCGAGTAAAATGATACTTATGAAAAGGATTTGCTCCTTATTCGAGAGGCACTCACCGAGCACACATGCAAACATGCAAAATATACAACAGACATATGAGAAATGTCAAACATATGACATGCAGAAATTTCAAGAATATGACATACAAATGACAAACATACAGAAATGCCTAATGCCAAACATACTAAGTGACGTGATCCTTACAAGTTAGAATCAAACACCTAGGTGGACACACATTGTGCCTCACATGAGTTCAGTGGCTAGGAAGCGTGACTTGTATTTGACACAATGTGAAATACTACTATCCTCTAGGCGACATTGTAGGGAGTGAGATGGATGGTTTATGAGTGAGCCAACTCCTCTCAAAGTGTGCAAGTATCCATTCTCGTGCATACAACATCATATGTGAGGAAGAAACTTACAAGTACAGACATCAAAAACACCACAAGTGGGGGTGCTCAAAGAGACATTCCAAACATAGATGTTTAAAGAGACATCCAAACATGTCACATGCAAAACATACAAAAAAAATTATTTTACATGCAATGAATATCGTATACATCAAGTCAAAATAAGATTTTCTTACACATGCAAATAAACATGCAATCTGATGCAAAAAACAAATAAGCAAGCAAGTGATTGATATATCAGGTTGTGGCAGCCAGTCAAACCGAATAGATGGGTTGATCGATCGGGGACAATCGATCGAACCCAAAGGAGCAGGTGATCAACCTAAGACGACTGATTAGACTCAAAGCGGGTGATCGATGCAGTGCAACCGATCAAGCCGGGAAAATGGGTCGATCGGGTCGGGATGACCAATCAAATCTAAAGTAGGTGATTGTACCAGTGTAGTCGATCAAACCTAAGGTGTGGTCGATTAAGCTTGAAAAATAGGTTGATTGGGTCGGGATAACCGATCAGACCTAAAGCAGATAATCGATGTGAGACGGTCAATCAAACCTAAAAGATCATGCAATCTGGCTAAGGTGACCAATAAAGCCCAAGAAATGAGTTGATCGAACTGGGACGACCGATCAAACCCAAAGCGGGTGATCGAACCAGTGCGGTCACTCAAACCCATAAGATCACCGGTGCGGTCACTCAAACCCATAAGATCAGACGACCGGGGACGACCGATCAAACCCAAAGCGGGTGATCGAACCGGTGCGGTCACTCAAATCCATAAGATCACCGGTGTGGTCACTCAAACCCATAAGATCAGACGACCGGGCCAGGGTGGTGGATCGAACTCGAAAAATAAGTCAACCGTGTTGGGACGATCAATTAGACCCAAAGTGATTGGTCAATCGTGTTGGGGCGGGCGATTGAACCAAAGTGCTCACGCGAACATGCAAACAATATGTGACATTATCCGCATGCAAAAATAAAATACAATCCAAAACGCTCGACGACACATCAAACTCATCACAACGCCCTCGTGTAGGTTCTAAAGTATACATATAGCTAGGTCGGGGTAACACAGACCCATCATCCCAAACTACTAAAACCGTAAGTCTACTTGGCCGTGAATGTAGTTGACGCAACATGTTTAGAGACCCAGGTCAGCACTTTGTAAATTGCATCGTCCACGGGGACCTTTGTAGCCCTAAGGTAAAGTGAATGAAACTCTATCCTACGTCTATCAGGTAGAGCTCCAAGAGGCAGAACTTATACCTGTCGAAATGACAAGGATATTGTAGGAAAGGAAGAGAAAAGGAGGTTAAGCTACAAAACTGGAAATACTTCTAACAAAAGAAATTATACCCGTCTGAGTCGAGAGCCTTCTAACATCCTAAGCACACTAGACAACCACATAAGGAGAATTTTATGTTGGGTCGATCAGGTTGGAGAAACACGAGAGCTTCTCCTCGTGACATTCAATATGATGCAGTGAGCTAATTAATCTTAATATTGAGACCCAATTAAGTATGACAGGGGTGATAGTCATGTATGCAACCCAATTTAAACCCAACCCAAAGGCCATGCAGGAAAAAAAAAGTGTGAATTTTAAAGTCATGAATATTTTAATCCTAAATTCTCATTATCTTGAAAATTTTATTAATATTTTGTAGCAAATTTAATATTTTAAACTCTAAAGAGCATATATTGCATTCGTGATTTCCAGACATACCACTAAAAGAAGCAATGCAATTTATTTCAAACATACAAACATGTAATAGAAAATATGAAAACAATCCTAAATCAAAATAATAAGAAGAGGCTGATGACTTTGGTTCGGTAACATATCCCAAAAAAGAAAATTACGGACGGACTCCACATATACATGCCCGGTGCAATTATCAACCATACCGATCAATCGCCTTTGAATGATGAGATTAATTTTATAAAAAATAGAGCAATCTTGAGAAAACAAGCCGAAATAATTCTAGTCATCTAGGTGAATTGAATGTCCGACATTAGCAACTACATGTGATGCAACTATCATGACAATAGAAGAAAATCCAATTTTATTGTAACTAGTGGTGGAACTATGAAGGGCCTAAGGGGGCCTCCCTAAACACAAGTATGTTAACAAAAATTCACATCTTTTAAATTTGAGATGAACCCTTTGGCCCACATCCCACTAAAATCCCAATTTCATAACAAACAATAACCGTAATGATATAGCAAAATTAAATGTTCATGAAAGTAGAATTGATATCCAAATTATACAATCTCTATATATTAGGCGATCTTTTACATTGCTTCTCCCTCAATTATTTCCTAATAATTTCAATCATTGTTAATGAATAAAAATAATATAAACTTGACTTCAAACAAAAAAAACCCTTCAAATCATAACAAAAAAAGTACAATTTTATATTGACATTTAGATATAAACATAGACATTGAACCAATTGCAACATTGAAAAAGCAAAGATACTTTTAATCTCACATTATCGAAAACAAATGTTTCAATATCTATAGTTTACACAATTCCTAAATTATACAAATTATTGCATAAAAAAGCAATGAAAATAGATCAACTGGATTATTTGTAGAAATCAAACTTTACCATAAATTTACAGTGTTTCAGTAGCTTCTGATGAGAGGCAAACCAATCACAGCGACAATAATGGTGGAAGGTACCCCAAAACGCAGATGGCTTAGGAAGGAGAGGTTGTAACCAAAAAACTGAGCCCTTTGAGCCTGCTCGCAGACTATCAGATTCGCCGCAGAACCAAGCAGGGAGAGGTTTCCGGCCACCGTGCTCACCCATGCAAGTATAAGCCATGACCGGGCCTCCTCGGAAGCCGAGATCGATGATGCTGATGCCGCCACCCTTGCTCCAAGCAGAAGAACTGAGGCGAGCATACAAGTTCAGCAACCATTAGTGTAACGAGAAGGAAGAAGTAAATTTTAAAATTGCAGAAGAAATTATATTGTAAAATGATCTTCCATCATAATGGCATTTGCAAAATTTCCAACCAATCAGATTAGATTGGTGAATGAAAATATTATGGTTGGGGTAATACATATTATTCGGACAAAATGAAAAAAAAAAATTTTTTTGTTTAGGTGAAAATTTACTAACATAAATATTTCATAGGAATGCATATGTTTGAAATATACGTAAAAGTTTGTATGCAAATATCATATTTAAGTTTAAGGAAAAAAAAAAAGAAAAAACTAATTGTTGCCTTCTTCAGCATTATCGTCTCCCAATAATAATCTTCTTTATCACTCTTACATGCTAATGAAATGATCTCATCCTTATCACCTCCCCAGCACTGCTATAGGAAGATATAAATACATACCACTCAATTCTTATGTATTTACGTATCTGCCACCTTAAATTCAATTTTTAAATATATGCCACCCTATCTATGCATGAAAAGGTGCATTGTACTTTGAAAGTTAAAATGATGATACTTTTGTTGTGATATGAAATATTTGAGTGATATAAATGTAAAAAGGTGTTAGATATGTAAATACATAGGAATTCTGTGGTATGTATGTAAATGCCCTTTCACTATTTAGCTTTGCATGTCCTTTCCATGGATATTCTTGTACCACTGGGGTGCAGAACATCATGGCTTTAAAACTCTACTGGAAATCAGTCAACTTCTAGAACACAAAATGCATCATTTTATAACCCAAAAAAAAGGGGGTTTTACATACCTTCACCAAATTCCTATGTATTAACATATCAATCACCCAAACTTCAATTTTTACGCACAAATCACCTAATTCCTACGTTTCTGGCATAGATTAGGTGGTCTAAAGATAGGAATTAGGTGGTCTATATGTAAAAAGTAAAGTCTAGATACTTGATATGTTAATACATAAGAATTGGGCCGTAGGCATGTAAATCTCCCTCTCAAAAAAAAAAAAAAAAAAAGGATGATTCGAATTGTCCAACAGATTTGTTGGAAAATAGTTGGGCAAGAAATGGAAGGCTGGGAATGAAGATTGGCTGACAAGAGGCCAATTCTTCTTAGGATGATTTACATACATACCACTAAATTTCTATGTATTTATATATCTAAAACCTAAACTTTAATTTTTGCATAATTGTCACCTTATTTATGCATGAAAAGGTATATTTCACATTTTTAAAGTTAAAATGGTGGTACTTTCTTTGTGATATGAAAGATATGGGCGGTATAAATGTACAAGGTAAAGTTTAGTTATTAAACATGTAAATACAAAATAATTGGGTGGTATGCATGTAAATGCCCCTGGATTAAGTTCTCAATTCACCATGTACTGCTGAGAAAGTCAATTCTTCCAAGCCTGCTGGGCGGGATGTGATGCTCAACTTTGCTCTCAGTGGATCAATGGGTGAAAAGAGGAGAAAAAAGCTATGTATTTACAAATCTAACACCTAAACTTTGGTTTTTACATTGATACAGCCCAAATCTTTCACTAATAATATCACATCAAAAAATGCCACCACTTTTTTACTTTTAAAAGGTGAAATACACCATTTCATGCAAAGGTAAAGTGATATGTATGTAAAAAATTGAACTTTATGTATTAAATATGTAAAAAAATAGGAATTGAGTGGTATGTATGCAAATCTTCCTTAAATAAAAGAGATAAATCAGAGAGCTTACCAGTGGGTACATTGGAGGCAACATTAGACAGAATAAGAATAACTAGGCCAAGCAATGCAATCCCACCCACGCTATCGATCCGGGAATATGGTTCGACAGCATCCCAAACGGTACTCGGTATTCCAGTCTTATTAAAGCCATCAACAGCTATGAACATACCACAGAAGAATATCAACAGGGAGTAAGAAACCTGACAAATCCATCAAATAACACACAACAGATTAGATAAGCAATATTCACAAGCTGTCACATAAACTCATGGTCACTATTTTAAGGCTTCAAATATTTTCACATATCTTTAGAAAATCCCCATTTTGCAAGCGTATCCTCTCAATAACTTAACTAAAATATAAAGAGACTTTAGACAGTTCAAAATTCTATGTTAAAATATGTGAAAGCCTAAATGAGAATCTATGAAGAAACTAAACATTTCTCATTATTGCATAACAATTTCTAAGAAGCCAATTATGTCATTTTTAAGTAGATCGTTT